AGCGCGTGTTCGTTCCCCACTGCATACACCTGTGGTCCGGAGTTTTGCAAATATTTCAGCACTTCATACGAGTTATATTTATTGATTGTATTACGCAATAGTTTCTTTTCCTGTAAATATCCAAAAGGAAAAGAATATTCGGCATATATTAGTTTCCACCATGGAAATTTCTCATGTCTCACCAATTCCATCGTTGTTTTTCCCTCCTTTTCATTTATCCTTCTCTTGCTTTTGCCAAATTTGTTTATTTTTTATCAAGTGACGACTTCGTGGAATATCTATGAACACTGAAGATCGTTGTCTTTTTTCTCTTAGTGAGAAGATTTCTGTCCTACTATTACAGGTCTATTCGAAGGAAACATGGGATTAGAAATATTCTCTTTGCACAACAAGGTAAGTGGCATATGATAGGGCGCTTACAATGCAGGAAAATTTTATTTCCCTAGTCCAGTGTGTGCTCTTGACAACAGTTTTTTTAATATTGGTAATGATCACCCAGATAAGTAGTAAGAGTCAATGAGGTGTTCGCTTCTTACTCAATAATCGCTGCGAATCGATATCTCTAATTAACTATATCGTTGTTGAGCAAATAATGTCTATCATTAAGTTTAACCTAAATGGTAATCGACTGCTTATCAACTGTAAGCTGCTCAATTAAGAGAACTGCGTTCAGTTCACTTTCGAGACACATGAAACATAACGCGTTTCTTGGTGACGCAGACATGAGATCGATCCCTGCGCTGGTGGATCACCAAGCCTTCCATCCCTCCAGGTTCGGCAAATTGCTACCAGACTTGTATGGAAGGATAGCAGCACTGGACCGATACATCGGTAGGCCACCTCGAGTTATTGTAAAGGCCAGATATGCATTCAATCACCTCCAGCGATTCTTAATGAGGCCGAATGTATGGCGCGTCCCTCAGGGATTGATCAACGAAGAGAGCTTTATCCTTTTTTATCCTCCTTATTTTAACTGCTTTTTTTGAAAGGGAGAGTTCAGTAATTACTTATCAAGCTCTTCCTTGAGAATTGGTTATACACTCGGTGAGCTTCCCAGGTTTTTAGGAGAACATATTGTTGAGTTCTTGAAGTTGGTTACATATCATCTCACATGCAATTACCAGTAGTTGGATTGCAAAGCACAGTGTATTTTATTACCAAATCGAGGCGAAGGATATAATTTGCATATTCGTGTAAGATATGTCTATTGACGTATGCAAAAGAAAGTGCTAACGGAATATGTAGATCAATCCGTAACACGGGAAGGTCCGTTGACAAAGGCCAGAGCGGTCGACTATGCTCCTCTTACGTAAAGAATGCCATGGTTAATTTCGGCTTCAGCCGCTCCTGTAGTTCTACGATGTTTTAGACTGGTAGAGAAACTGGAGTTACAGGGAATTAACAACATTACAAAGCTAACAAAAAGTTTAGTGCTCATGGTCCATTAAGAAAGAGATAACTGCCCACACTCCCTTCACTGCTTAAGTTTAGATTTATGAGCATACCGTTTTTTCATGTTTTTTTTAATTCATCAACTTGTTATTCAATAGAAGGAAAATGGTGGAAGATGAGGTTTTTGGGTGTTTCACTTTAGCTGCACCAAACATGCCCCTTAGGCTAGCGTGTCTTGTTCTGTAGTAGGGAAATATTATCGTTGTCTGCAGGGTTGGAAAGGTATGCGTGGTGAAAACCTTGATGCATATTCAGCGCTTGAATTAACTACTGTGTATATCAGGGAGGACTATTATGACCAATGTGAGGAATTCTGAGCCACATTACCCCAACGGTGGAAACATTCTCAATTTTCGATTTCCTTGGCAAAATACGGCAGACAAACTCGCCGTGGATGAAATTTGCTACTGGTATTATTCTCTACCTTTAGACCTAATTCAAGCTTGTTGAGTGCGCTGAAGGAAAGAGATTTGTTCTGAAAATTCTCTACTGGGCCATTACTTTTAACTTAATTAACCGTTCGTACATCAAACTCCTAATGAATCTGGTAGTGACATGAACTAAGAAACCTAGTGAACAACAACCAGTGCACCGTTTGGTTTTATTTCTACTTTTATGACACTTTCTTTGTGACATAAACTAATGTCAGGTGCTCACAGAAATGGAAGGACGGATGCGTGATACAAACGGACGTCTATATTTCGGAGCTCTGGTCATGCTTATCTACCTGCTTATAGGAGCTATCGTTTTCGTAAGGTCAACTAATTAACAAATGTTAAAAAACTACATGCCAATATCTCTATATTAAATAGGCCTGTCTAATGTAAAATATGCTGTCTATTCTTAGTTCCTACTGTAAGTGCTAACGTCTTCCAGTAGGAGCATCTGGGATTTGATAACTGCTCTCATTCCTTTGAGGCTGCACGATACGGATGTAACGCAGTGCTTTGTTAACAACGCTAATAATGCTATGACTATTATCTACAGAATATTCCAACATTTTGACACCTGAATACACCCCATAGTAATTCTTTAGTCGTTTCTACTTTATCATCTTCTGGATGGCAGGTGATAGTTGTGAAGTGATGAAGACTGCTGTGTAACTACGCTCTCGTAAGAATGCCCATCGTAGAGTTTGGTTTCACTTTTTCAACATCGCTAGTACTGTGTTAGTTTTCTAATAGTCGCCCTTTATCAGTTCAGTACGTACTGAGAATGTGCAAACTGCCTAGTTTGAAGCCTGAACTGCCTGAATTTTCATCACCAACTTTTCATTAATACCATCAATCAAGATTCAAATTCATACCTGATATTGTGAATCGACGCTTAAATTAGTTATGATATAGCTTTAACCTCTTTGAGAACAAAACTGGCAGCTTGGAATCGTTGTTTTGTCAGGAATTGGCTAATGTGTTTTCCTACCAACTTTTATAAAGTACTAGTAGCCACAGCAATTTATTATCTTCGTCACGGTATAGTAAACTGTATGGCTTAAACTCAGAATGCATATGTGTTGGGATCAACTTCAAAGTTTTCAAAGTGTCTAAAACAATTTAGGCTCGAATATCCTTTGGAACGAATAGAACGTGAAACTCATTGGGAATACAGAGAACAGTGGACGAGAAGACTGCTAGCAGTCGGTATTGAAGGTGAACAGTGTTCCTACTTTTATGCCTCAAGAGTTTTGGACTGATGACTATAAAAATTAAGGTCGTCCTAAAATATTTTCCATTGTTGGTTGCAAAGGGTATGCTCTTCGTTTTGTTTTCCATTTGTGCAGTCGAGCATATGCTACTTCTATAGGACATTCAGCTTTGCAAATACGACCGTCTCAGCTCATTTGGGTACTGCAAAGCGAGGTTTGAACGTTAAAATTCTAACTGCACATGAATAGTTTGCGCTAATTAGTATTCGGCAACCTTTTCTCCTTCAACTGCAATCTCAGAGAGATTGCAACAAGATGAGCTCGCAGTGAGTTTCAGCCGGTTAGGTTTCTATATTGTGTGGACCTGTAAGGCCATTTCTCCCGTGAAGCGGAAGCAACAAAAATGGATCGGAGCTTGGCTTGGTCATGGCAACTGACAGCTTCCCGTCGCAGCGTTGTCTAACAGGCAATTAGAGGAGTTATGCTAGCATGCGATTTGTTCAAAGCATTAAAACGCCATCATCTTCACAAAAAAAAATTTCACAACCATAAACCTAATAAGGCTCTGCTCAACTTTTTTAAAAATCTTTTTGTCCTTCTAGAAAGCCTCGCCTACCAAGAGTTTACCACCTTATCGTGACTGGGAGGTGTTCCTAGATTAGAAGCTGCGATGTAGAGCAGGGGCCTATGCAGAGCCTCCCAAGCGGAGAGGCCGACTTTTCCATCTAGAAGGTCAGCTAAGAGTAAACCAATATCAGAATTCATCATCGCTCTGGTGGTATATTAGTCGCCTGGTGGTATATATCGCACTGATCCACAACGACAGCGACTGCTGGAGAGGTGACGACCTGAGGAAGGTTTCGGTTAGATTGGTATCAAAACTCCAGAAAACCACAGTGTCTAAACAGCCAAAATTCGGCATCAGTATCCGATACATGGGCGCTGCGACCAAATCTCGGATTCCCCAGGACGTCACTAGAAACGGACAAAGCAAGTGCACCCACTTCACGCTTTGGAAACTACTTCTTGCTCTGCATGAATAAGAGCAGAATGGTTTATTCAGTCGCCGAACTTTCCGCTCTTCTTGAGACACCTGGTTGCAATAAATTCTGCGTGATCGCCCTGAAAGAGACGAAAAGTAGAAACACTGACCTACACCAATTAGATCACTAAACCGTTGTCATTGGTGGAGGGAAATTTTCGTTATAAATTGTCGGGGCCATTGGCTTTGTTGTGCATCCATCTATTTCCCATCTATTCACCTCTTACGAAATCGTATCACCGCACCTAAGCATTTATCTTCTCCAATTTGCACGCCAAAAAAAAATCAGCATGATCAGCTGTTACTCAGAAACTTGTAGAACAGATGAGAGAAAACTGGACGCCTCCTACAGCCATCCCTTCCCTCATATTAAATAAAGGAGAATGGATATATCGTTCCACGGCTTCTTCCTTCGGAAAACCAACAAGCTTTCCAGCCGTTGAAAAACTGAACGACACCTGATTCAAGAGGAATAAAGCATAAACACACCTGAAGAACCCTCCGCCAGTCCTCATAACCACACTGGCTTGAATTTTCAGAGATTATCTGTGAGAGTGCAAGGTTCTTAATAAATGAAGGATCACCACAACCGTGTTGTCACACAAGAAGGACCTCATAACCCAATCCGTCTGCTCTTTATTGTCTATCTTTTTCATTATTAGCGTGGTTTTTTTTATTTCCCGCAGAAAAATAGTAAATTGCATTAGCCAATGCCAAGGGATGCGCTGGTTAATCATATCAAGTCAGCGTTTTTATCCTACCAGGTAAGCTTGATATCAACCTGACGAACTCGGGGTAAAGAAAGCATTGGTTTGCACAAATCGCAGGATAGAAACAAAGAGACTGTATGTATCGCAGGGCACGCTACCTGCTTTAAAAAGATTTAGTGTCTACTTCCAGTTCTTCGCTTGGTAATTTGCGGAAAGCAACCTCTATGGTTGTAGTACACAACTTTGTTCAACGTTTTACAATGCAAATGTTTTCCTTTCAGAATCAGAAGTTGACCGACTGTTTGCTAATATTCGTGATGCTGTTCTTAACGGAATCTGGGTGGAGAAGAATGTTACCAGCTCCCCTAATTGGTCATTTGGTCAAGCTTTCTTTTTTGCTGGCACTCTCATAAGTACTGTCGGTTCGTTCATTCACGTACCCTTCAATACTTTCACCATTCATGTGGATCACTTTTTATCTAACAATTTCACTCTCGAATTTGTTCTATTGCTCAGTTAATTTTTAGAAAATGCTTTTAAAAGTTTTTATCTTCTGTGATATAATATCCTTCTCGCTAACCGTGAGCCTATTTCGTTGGCTTTTTTGAATGATTCATCCTCACTTATTATGCGGATTCTAGCACTTTTTTCATTCGATTCATTTTCTGGAATCCATCATCCATGAAGTTCTTTGGATTTTCAAGTAAGTCATTGGATTCTGGCCTACTCTATTTTTCTAATTCAAAACTCCATCCTTGAGTAATAGTGTTACGACGTTCCCAAGCCTCATAGATGGTAGAACGTTTCCCAGATTAATCTGCTAGCAGTTCTCCGGTTATGAAGGAATGATAGGTTTGGTGGCCCTAGTTAAAGGTGAATCATAGTTTTGTGCGGACTCAACGGCATCTTTATCGCTTTGTTACACGCACTACTTACGCGTACAGTTGACAATATGATAAAACAGTAATGCTCTCGGCATTGATCAATCTCTGAGTGGAGCACCTTAGACTCGACTTCACCAAAGATCGTGGAAGGTTATTGAACGCATATCTGGCCTAAACAATGACTCGCGGTGACCTACTAATGTATCGAGCAAATGCTGCTATCCCTCCTAGATAAGTCTGGTAGCAATTTACCAAACTCCGAGAGAGGCAAGATTTGATTGGCTTGGGCCGCGGCATCGAACCTATGTGTACTGCAAGGCGCCTCTAACCACTGTGCTACATGCGCCACTACATGCAGCTTACTTTGAATAAACTGCGTAAAAAGGTAATACTTTACTCAACCAAATTACGCTTTTCCGGTGCTAGATTCGAGAGGTGCTCCACTGCAGTAGATTCGGCTCGACGCGAACTCGAAGACCAATTTGGCATGAACGAACGACTGTAGGCAATCTACTCGAATTATCGACTCGAAAGAAGTCGAAGACGTTGAATCGCTAGCGGAATGAAGTTTCGTATCAACCTTGGGTAAGCTGAAAACCCTAGAGAACCATATGTGAAAAAGCCTTTCTTTCACTATCTTTTACTGCACGCGTGGTTCAAAGAAAATCTGAAAGGATTGTTTGTGAACGATATCGTTTTCATTTTGGTAGCCCGAGGTTAAGAGAAAGTCGATATTGGGAATTGCTACATTTTCAGTCTAATCGTTTACTTTCGCTTTGTTTTTAAAGTATACTGATGTTCTGACTTTGATGAGCAATGTTGTTTTTCTTCACGGTTTGTTCCGGCGTGGATAATGCTGCGGCGGCTATATTGTTTAGTAGCGCTAAAGTTTTATTTCGAAACCGACTTTCCTTGAACCTCGGTAACACTTATCAATATGTATTCTTTTTTTGATAAGCTTACACGAGGTTGATAATGATGTTCGGCTAACGTTTCGACGTCTTCGTCTTCCTCAGAACCGACGTTAAAGTTTTAGTTTTTCAAGGAATAAACCAAGCCTATTATCCCTTCAAAGTTTGGAGACATTTTTCAGACTTAACTGAAATTGGTTACTTTCCCGTAATAGACGAATGCTTTTAATGAAGATTTAAGGGGGCTTTGGCATGGCTGTCCCTGGATTTCAGAAAGGCTCGCGCGAACGACATCCGCGATGAAGTCAACATTGTCATGAAGCTGTTGAATAAGTACTCAAAGCCGAAAACTTCTGTGTAAGAAGATGGGCACGAGAGAATGAATAGAATGCAATAAGTGCAAAGATTCGCGTAATATGTGTTGTGGAATAGGATAAATAAAAGTGTGATAATCATTCAACTTTAGGCTATGGACGTGTGTCACCCAGGACTGAATATGGGAAATTGTTTACAATTGTTTACTGTGTCATCGGTAAGCTTAGTAGCTATTGCAATTTTTGTTTAACATATTCGTGACAATACTGGTTCTTTAACAATTGCCTCTACTTCTTTTATGGCCACCAGAGCACTAGAGAAGTTGAGAATTCGAACGATGTATCTACGTGGTCCTTCGAACTAGAAATGTGCATAATTCTTCTGAAGTGTTATCTTAACCCTTAAGTTATTTAATATTTAAACTTTGGGAAACTTCTAATGCAAATCCAACAACTAATGTTGAATTGGTGGACATCATCGATTTCTGTACTACGAAATCCGGATTTTAAATCACCTCTGCGCTAGAAGCACTTGGGTGGCCGAAAAAGTGCGGGAAAAGGCTGGCTTATGGACTTCAGAAGATAAGAGTTTCTTTGTCTTATAAAAAAAACTTTCTTCTTCTTGGGAACAACCTATAGATTACAGATTTTATTATTTTAACAGATATGACTAACTGTCAGCTAAAGCAATGCACGTACGCATCGAGATCAATTCTTGCTGTCGCGGATACGTTAAATGTAAACACTCGCATTCGCAGGTGATTGTTCTAATTTTCTAGGTATTCCTCTCACTCTTGCTCTACTCTCAGCGACCGTGGTGCGATTAAAACGGCCATCGCAGATCTTGCGAGGGGTTCTGAATAGACGATTGGCGCATATTTTCCATGCTGCTCAAATTCAAGTAAGTTTCTGTATATTGAAAAACATTTGCTTTCTCCATCTATGCACCTATATTTTTGTGTCAGCATCATACCTATTTCCTTTCACTTTGCCCGCGTTTTATGCAGGAGGTATATGTGTATGATCAAAATTTTCTTGGATAGTAACATAATTAGTAATCGAGCAAATGTTGCGCAATTGTTAGAGGCATTCTATGATTACACATTCTGTTGTTGGCTCGACCCTACTCCCTGGGCTCACCATATACCTGGCATTTCTCCGCGATTGGGAAATTCGTACCAGACCTATTTGGGAATATAGCAGCACTGATTTGATAGGCATGCCTTCCATAAGGCACTGTAAAGGCCAGATATCTATTCAGTCACCTCTACGACGTCACCCACCAATGGAGTCCAGTGCATGATGCACCCGTAAGCAATTCATCAGCCTAGAGCAATTTACTTTCCTTTCATTATAAATAATAATATTCATAAATGCAGTGCCCCTCTTCTAGTCAAAGCCACTATTTAGTCAATTTTTTTATTCTTATACCAATTTTATAAAGCACGGCCTCCTAGATGTTCCACTTATTCATCGTTTGTCTACTTCTCCTCGTTTTTGCTTTTATCATCCCGTCGTGGATTTTTACAAACATCGAAACCGATTGGACATTCTTGGATGCTTTCTACTATTGCTTTGTGTCACTAACTACAATAGGCTTAGGTGAGTGCTTGCTGTATTCCTACCGAATGATTGATTATATTTCCGGAAAGAGTTCATTTGATCTACGTTCTCCATGCAATTGATAATAATATAGCGATATACTTAATACTTGATACTTGAATGGCCCGAGCTCATTGGTTGTGCGGGCCCCAGCATAATCTCCATTTTTCGGAGATTTGCTGGTTAAGCCATTGTGGTTCCCTGCAATCTCGAAGTCAAGCTTACCAAAGTCTGCCCCAGGTCTTCACCACCACAGGCAGTCTCAAACTCTTCCAACCCAAAAGAAAGGGCGAGTGTGGCGTAGTGTTTGGAGGTGCCACTGCGACACAAGTGGAATCGATCCCCACGCCCATAGCCCACCAAGCCTTCCATCCCTCCGAGTTCGGCAAATTGGTACCAGACTTGTCTGGAAGAACAGCAGCACTGGCTCGATACATAGGTAGGCCACCTCTAGTGTACCTAATGCATTCAATCACCTCTAACGATGCTTAGTGAAATCGAATGCAAAGTGCATCCCTCATAGATTGTTCAGTGTTGAGAGCTCTGTTCTTTTTACCTCTTTATCACTCATTAGAAATGTAACCTTTCCAAGTTTTCACGAGGAAATGTTGTTTCAACTGATGGAATCTCTATTAACGGAAATTTCTTATTTAGGTAACTATGAACCAGGTGACAGCCCCGATCAGGAGTATAGAAGTGTGTACAAAATTATCGCAACAGGTTATTTTGCCATGAATTTTCCTAGTTCTTTCTTTTTCTGCCCGTTTTTGCTTCCTATTTCACTTTTCTAAAGCATTTAGCGTTGACGAAGTTGCACCCTTGTAACAGTTTTTAGAATAGCAATTTTTATAACCAAAATTTCTCGTCAATTTGTAATCCGAGTCTTTTAAAATGTACTTTCTTGTCCATTTGGATACTTGGATTGCTCGTCCTTAATGGTTGTTCGGGTTCCAACATGATCTCCATTATTTCGGAATTTTGCTGGTTTAGCCACTGTGGTTCCTTGGAGTGTCGAGGTCAGCCAGACTGAACTCTGCCCCAGGTCGTCACCACCACAGGTGGTCGCCGCCTATGTGGATCAGAGGGAGATTTGCCACCATGCTACTAGTTCGGCACCAGGGCTGCGACGGATCCTGGTAGTGGTTTACTCTTAGCTAGGGTTCCTGACGTAAGCTCCGAACTGCTTCTCAGCTTGGGAGACCATGGCAGGGTATGAATGCCCGCTGTACATCGCAGCGCTGCCCCACGCCCAGGAACACCTCTCAGCCAAGACATAGAGGTAAACCGTTGGGAGGTTTTTTAAATATTGTCCTTAAATAAAGCTGATATATTGGCAAGACTCGGGACCGCAGGTTTCTGCGATGGGGAACGAACGCACTGTTGTCCTTTCTGGAGAGTAACGCGCTCACCACACCACCATGTGGGTCCTTCTTTTCGGGTGGCTCTCAGCTAGTTCTGTCGACCTTTTGCCGTCAACGAAATATAGTGAGATATTGAACGCGTTGCTCCCGGAAAAGACAATAATATACCCTGCCATTAAAAGAGAGTAGGCAGTAAATAAATCGATTAAAATTGTTATTATAACTAAAGCGTCATCTTAACTGGGTTCGTTGCCGATTTGGGCTACCCAGATCAATCCCGCAAACGCAAAAGATCGATTAAACTAGCTGGGAGACAGGCGAAACGAAGGACCGGCGTGGTGTGGTGGTGGACGCGCTATTCCCCAGAAAGGACAATATCGCGTTCGTTCCCCACCGCAAACACCGGCGGTCCGGAGTTTTGCCAACATCTCAGCTTCATTGAAGTTATATTTCGCAATATACCATGCCATTAAAAATGAGTAGACAACAAATAAAACGATTAAGATTGTCCTTGAAAATGAAGTTCAACAACGAAACAAATGAACGTGTTCCAAAAAGGTTGGTCCTCGTTCTCAGAATGCTCTTTTCGAAATGAGACCGATTTAATGTGGTTGAAGAATCATTCATTAGGAACCTTCTAATTACTGGTACAGCTGCCTCGTTTAATGTCTGTGTATTCCAATTAGTTTAATTTTAGTATATCTACTAATTGGATTGTGTTGCATGATGTTATTCTTAGCGACACTTTATGAGATGCCACAGTTTAATTTGACTCGATTCTTCTTGAAGACTGAGGAAGATATGAGAATGGTTGATGAGGTTTGTGAATGAATGTGTTTCCTTATTCTGAGCGGTTTCTTTTCATGAAAAATTTGGTTACTATGAATTTATTTTCAAACATATGGTAAAAATGCGGACATGCAATTATTTAAGAAATGCTTGGCCATTGTACCAGATGATTGTTGAATCAGTCCATGCAGTAGTTTGCTTGTATTAGTTGTCCAAGAATATAAAATGCTCGCCTTCCTACAATTGGCAGCACAGAGCTCTTCGTGATGAAACGGGTAAAGGTCGAACTTCGAAAATTAAACTTGTACATAAAATTATTACAGCAATGATAAAATAACGAGGATAGCAAGGATATTCAGCGAGTATGTGAAGACTAAAGAGACGTTAATATATCTGTTGTAAAAGACTAATGGCCCCTATGACAGAGAGAAGAGAAGGAAAGGCCAAGAGCAAGAAGTGATTTCACAAGTTAATGGTGACTTCTGAATACTATCTGTAGGCAGACGTTACGATAGTCAGCGCAAGGTTTTTCTAACGAATATATTTCTCTGTGTATCTATTGACATTCAAGGGCATTAGAATCAACATTCCGGGCAGTTGCGAAGCAAGAGCATGAGACCGCTACTACGACGTATTCTGCAGATTGTAAGGAGACTAAGAAGATTGACATAGTAGAATATGAATGGAAGAAAAAGCACATGGTAGCGTACAGAAATAGAAAATATGCTTTAGGAGGACTAGAGTGTATTTTCAACAGGCATTATTATTTGCCGAAACCTTTGCCGATAGAATATTATTACTGTTAATGAGTAACTACAAAGGTACTTGCGAAGATGTTTTTCCGTTTTCTTTTCCCGCTTAGGAGCTTGAAATTTTCAGTACTTATTGCATTAAAGTGGGTCTTCCCCCAATTAAGGTAATTGTGATTTTATTTTTTTTTCTTCTAAGGTTTCTTATTGTTTAAAACGTTGGTTGTAACAATGATTTTTGTTGTATCAAGATCTCAATCCTCTAAAGCTATTAGTGTTGGAAAATCTCTGAAGGAGGTAACATGCATTCGATTTCATCAAGCACCGTTAGATGTGACTTAATTCATAAATGTCCTATACAATGCCTGGCAGTGGTCTATTGATGTATCCAATCAGCGACGTGTCTTCCCAGACAAGTCTCGTACCTTTGTCGACACCGAGCAGTGGAAGAGTTGGTGAAACCACGGTGCCCGATCGAACCAACGATCATGTGCGCATTGTAGGACATCTCTAACCACTGCGCTACACGCATTCTTTTAATCTTAAGACGTTCATGAATTGTGATTATTATTATGTTGCCCACTATTTTCAGAACGGAACCGGCCCTAAGTATTCTCAGATTTCCGGCGATGATGGCACGCAGTCGTACCAAAATCAATTTTATAAGCCATAATGAATTCTGAAGGGTTTTTCAATAATGATCTCTCACTTAGTTAAATTTCATCTAGAAAATTCAATTTAACACATATATTCATTCTACTATTTGCTACGGATATGTTCTGTTCATTGACTGTCTTTGAGTAATTTTTCGATTTGTGCAATGCTGAGTGAAATCTTGATGATGAGGTAGAATTCTGTTCGGTTCCTACTGTTAGTATATTTTCCAGTAGCAATGGATTCACTCTAAAATTACCTAATCCTATTCTATCTTCTGGTTGACTCCTACTTTATGCATAAAGGGTGAATGGAAATACGTGTCTTATATGAATATCCATAACGTTTTGGACTCCTAGCATTCATTGTCATGATTATCTCTTGTAGACTAAATGAAAATCTTAAGCGTAGACCACGGATACTGGACCTCGTTTCGTTCCAAACGGCTTATAGTCCAACTTCCAAAACCGCATGTTCAGATTCGCTCTGTTTTTCCTTCATTAGCTCTCCTCTTACTGATTAGCATTTCATCACATTCTTTTTAAAATTCGAATACGCTTTCTAAACGGATTAAGCAATTGTTTTATCAGTTGTTTAACATGAATAAATATGATGTGTTAACGCTTACCTGACTCTCTCTGTAACATGCAATTATTCATGCCTGAACTTCTAGTCCTTTGTTTTATTTTACGTAATCCGACATTACGTTTCGTAAGAATCCCAGCAATTCTTGCGTCCCACTTGTTGTCTCTCACATATTTATAATTCGCGAAGGTCTTCGAACATTTGGCGTGTGGGTTCGGCTGCTGCTGGATTCACCGTTTTTCCGATAACCCACCACGAGTTTGGTATTACAGCATTTAAGTAGAGAATAGCTGACTCTTCGGCAGTTGCGTCTTCTTCAGAGCCTGGAAAATCAGAGATATTCCTTGCATTCTTGGAGTAAGGCCAGCTTACGTGTTCCCACATGAATTGGAGGAGAGCGTTAAAAAAAGGTGGAACCGGAATCTTGCTTTTTGATGAACTGCATCACTAACCAGTGCACTATCTGCTGCAGACCTTTGATATCTACCAAATGGGATATTGGTACTAAGCAGCTCACTGCGCACTTCTTAATCGTCACCTGTGAATCGGTCATGGCACAATTTCACACGTAAGTAAATAGGTTTCGAGACGAGTCTTGATCGCTTTCGCCGTTAATGATCGATGTCGACAGTGGGAATAGAAAACCAATTTTTATTTCTCGAAGCAAAAAACTTTAACTATGAAGAAGAGATTTCTTGTCTACTATTCATCAAGATTTAGAAGTGTGAATGTTTTTGATCGCCTGTTTAACACTGTGATAAACATTGAGAACGGCGAAGGAAGAATTTTGCAGAATAGACAGTCCAAGAGAAGCCAGAAAGCCTTCTGCTAGGTTCTTCACTTAGCTTTCCGCCACCAGATATGCAAAGTTTTCTCTGAGCGAATGTGCTCATTCTCTGTTCGAATTTTTGAAGCATTTTCACAGCGAATCCCATTATATCGTCCATTCCAGATATTACTTTAATCCATGCATACTTCTCAATACTCGCTTACCCTCGGCTAAAAGCAAACGACATTTTCTCCAAAAACAAACATCAAGATTGCTCTTCATTGGCCTTGTATTTGCGGTGTACCCAACCGGCACATTCGTGCTGCATTAAATATACTTGATACTCACTTGAACGTCCCGTCCTAACTAGTTGTGCGGGCATCAACATAATCGCCATTTTTCGGAGGTTTGCTAGTTACGCCATCGTGATTCCCCTGGAATCGCGAGGACAGCCTGGCCAAAGTCTGCCTCGGGTCGTCACCACGACAGGCAGTCGCAGCTCCTGTGGATTAGAGGGAAATTTGCCACCATGCGACTTTACCAGGACGGTGGTGGATTCCGGTATTGGTTTACTCTTAGCTAGGTTTTCTGATGGAAACGCCGGACTCCTTCTCAGCATGGGAGACTCTGCCGGGGAGATCACTGTACATCGCGGTCTGACACCTAGGAACACCTCTCAGCCACGATGAGGCATGTTGGCTGCATTAAATACCCTTCATGAAATTCAATTTATTACAGCTTTTTACGTTTCTTTTAGTATTGAACAACTTTGTGGTTAACTAACTTATTTTTCACTCTAATAATGTAAAATAAAACTCTCACAAATGGATTGTTCTTTACAAGTAGTCTATGGCTGCGTTTCCACTTCATGCGACGATGGCAAATGCTGAGAAGTTCGGTCCAAACGGACCCGATGCCAAGGTTCGAACCGCTCTGTTTACCACGCCTTGCCAGAACTCTCTCGACCAATTAGCCAATGAAAACATTGATGGTCTAGAGAGATCATTTCCTTCTCAAAACGTATTACTGCAGAGAAGAGTGCAATGCAAACCATGAGGTTTCCTGCAGTCGACAGGGCTGTCGGAGGAATGCACGATACGTTCTTTCCAGTGTTTAACGTACAGGCCGCATTATATACTGCAGTCACTGTACTGCCAAAGAGTATGCATTTTGGCGTCATCATGGTCGTAACTGCAAGCAAATTCTTCAGCAAAACGTTTCCTTCCACTCAGAAAATTTTAGTTTCGTCCAACAAACAATCGATGTGTGGTGGCTAATAATAAGATGCAAAACCATTCTGGGAAGCGGTTCAGTGAATTCAGGGATGCGTGTGTGAGATGGGTTGAAGTTATTCGACTGCAAGAAATTCTTAAAAACGTATTTTGATTAGCACAAAAATCGGAGTGTCTTTTTCTGATGGTTTGTATCGAACCAAGTTTGTATTGTTAACACGTATTAAGACGCTAAAGGTTCAAAACCTACCATCAATAAATTGTGTAGGGTCTGAATTGACTGCTACGTCTTCGCATTCCAGAGGTTGATAGCTGATATTGCCAGTGTGCTGACCCAACATCATTTCGATTATGGTACTGGAGAAACCGGCTGCACGACCTTGCTGTTCGGGAACGTCAAACACCTGAAGAAAAGTGCTGTCCGAACTCGTAGGATTTGAATGGATGTTTGCAATTGAACTATTCAAAGACGTACAAGCTGTGATAATACCAAAACGCCGGAGAATTGTTTAAAAACTGAACTGTTTAAAAATAATTATCATTAATCAATATCAGCTAACAACAAACCCTATCACGTTACACAAGACACCATTCTATAGAATAGAACGGGCAACATGTCAACACGGTTCAGATCGTGTAACCGTATATATTTATACGGACGTTTCCCATGTCAGCCGGGACCGAGGAGTGTAATTTGGGCGCGAATGAATAGGTGAAAAACCTTAAGGCGAAATAAAAACTGAACCTTTGTTTCAACACATACAATTAAGAACTCACTGCTTGCATTACAACACGCGTCACAAATGCTTTGACAGCATCTGCACTCCTTGAAATGCCAGCAACTTGAGCGCGAACATTTGCTGCAGCAGAGTAGGCAAGCTGAAGCAGGTGATGTTGAAGGTTCTTGTACTCATTGCTGCTAAATTAAACGACTTTCCATTTTAAAAAATGTAAGTCGAAACAAATTTCGGAATTTCTTGAATGGATAAATAAAAGTCCTTTGTTTCATGAAAATGTTGTTCTCTGTGCAACGACGGTTCTTTAACAGTGATG